CCAATCGAACACACAGTCCATTTCTATCAAGTATTAATGTACTGTACATAAAGTTTAAAGCTCAATTGGCGCGCCACCTCAAAGCGCAGACCCTCACCGGTTTTTACAAGCCAACCCTGATTAACAGTAAATTGAGAATATCCTAGGTGTAGTGGGAAAATTACGTGCTTCAATCCGGTTGTACGTCCGTTCGTCCCTTTTGCGTTGACATAACCCATATTATAACGGCACCTTTTAAATTGATTTCTCTGCCAACGATTCTAACTGCGGCACCTCAAAGTTGAAGATAAATAGCTAACACAATTGCGAGTGATTGGTCTCGGATATTGTACCGGCTTGGAGGTGAGGCGTTACTTGGGTTCAGGGTTCTAGGGTCTTTTAGGTTTGTAAATGGCGTTTTTGGTTCAGGAGTATCTTTCGTGAGCATCTTTCTTGCATCACTTATTAATCCAATATAATGGTCGATATAGAAATATCACTTCAAATACAACCAATTCTTTAAGTAACTCGTTGTTATTGGCAAACTAAGGACGCTTCAAACACCTAATACTATTGTTATTGTTTATTCTCTAACACTGTCTGCTTTTACAGCCTACCTTGTACAGCTATCCCTTTCATCATCTAAATCAGTTCACTTTGTAAACCGACTAAACTTAGCTCCGGCCTTCGAATAACAACACAAAAGGTGACTTCAATTTTCCGAACGAAGATGGAATCAGACATTTATAAAACAGACGAAACAATACTGAATTTTGGAGCCTCAAAACCTCAGGGCTTTGTGAATTAGCTGTGTATAATTCTGACTCAGTCGTGAACGTCGATACGCTTTTAAGACAATTAGCTAGGAATTCAGGAGACCTTGACTGTCGGTTGTCCTATCGCCGACTACAAAGTGCACGTGCTATGAACGAACAATGACTATTTTGTCTATTATTAACAAATAAGTCAAGGTTTGATCGAAAGAGTTCATTGTGTTTATTAAAATAGATAAAATCACGCTTCATTTTAACCTAAACCATGCTGCAACAACTGATATTCACAGACCAGTTTTAAAATACTTTTTTATCCAATGTGTTTAATAGTTATGTAGTTGTGCTTAGATAATTGCATTAAATCAATAAAATACTTAGTATTTTTTTATGGCATAAGCCGGTAAACGAGCAGACGGATACTTGATGATAAGCAATCGGCGTCGCCCATGGACACCTGGAACACCAGAGGCGTTACAAGTGCGTTACCGGCCTTTTGGGGATTAGGAGTTTGACTATCGTTGGGGAGATTGGGGAAGGTGAGAGTAATTGGGCCTCCGATAACCTCACTCACACGACGAAACACAACGCAAGCGTTGCTTCACGTCGGTTTTCTGTGAGGCCGTGGTATCACTCCGGTTGAGCCGGCCCATTCGTGCCGAAGCATGGCTCTCCCACACTTATTATAAGTAATCTTTTGTATTGGCATATTGCCTTATACATACTGTGGTGTCAAGTTAAATTGTTGACCATTCTAAACGTACCGGCTGACTTTTCTCTATAAGGTTTGTAACAAAAAATCTAGAAAACTCTTAGCGCGAAACATCAATCGACTTTAAACCGTACAGAGATTCCTTTCATTGATATGTTCGTATCATCGAGTGAGACTTGAAAAGCTTTTATAGCGTCTCTTTATGGTCAGACGTGATAGGTCATAAGGTTCTAGCATTGTTTCGGTGCTTGCAAATGTCCCATAACCCGTGGAAGGTCTCAACAGCGCTTTTTGCAGTCATGTGTGAACTGTGCGATTGTACGTGCCTACGTGTTCTTGACTATTATTCTTGGAAGTGTCTTTGTGCATCTTAGTACGGTCCTTGCGAATTTTAATACTTTGTTCAGTATTCTTAAATGCTTCAAGTCTAGCATTTCTATAAACATTCTGATAGTAATTGACAGATAAACATGTTTAAGTTCTGAAGTATTACGTAAGTCTTATTTACCGTAAAACTAGTTTAAAAGATCTGTATTAAACACGCGTGTAGTCCGCCATTGACCGCGCGTGCGCACCCCGTCTCACCTTAAACATTTGCAGAAACGCGGACAAGCGCATATTTCTTCACATTCGGCTATTTCCGTCTACCGTTCGGCTAAATCCGTCGGTAGCGGACGATGACTCCGACGGCATGCGCTGTTTAGACCTTGACGTAAACTTGAGGTGCAGTTAGAACAATCAATTTGCAATTTTATTGCCTTGACATAAAGAACAATAGTATGGTAAATTAAGTTTGTATCGTTTCCGTATAGGATGTTCGATTCGGAAATGATTTACGCCCGCAGTTTAATTTGAATTTGAAGTTGCATGAATTAAGATAAAACTACAGTGTGCAGTATTCGTAACGAGTTTGGTGTCCTTAGTTATTGCAAATCGTACGATGTGCTACTAACAACAATTAGAAATCCATTAAAACGAACTGTACATGCAGTGAATGAACTAAGTACTTTAGTATTGCTGAGTATAATAATTTTGGTATGTATACATTTTGTCCATCGTATTAATATCTTCCTAACTTTCAAAATATCCTTTATATTCTTAACTATCTTTTCAAGTTCATTTCCTTGTGTATAATGATTAATGATTGATAATATTAGTGTACGATTCATCATCACTGTTTTGTTAATATAGGCCCAACAAAGATGGCCTCAAGCCATTTCTACATCCGACTTTGAATAACTTTACATTTGGCCTTGTTAATTTTTTAATGTAATTACAACCATTATGCCTGACGAAAGCCTACAATTATCTTGTCGCTCCGAAATTATTTTTAACACGTGTTCCACTGAAACCAATGATTACTAATTATAATTTGTGCCCAAAAAAACTATACTCACGCACTTTTTTGCGTTACGCCTTTACTTTAAGTCATTTTGTAGAAGAAATTAAATCTGATCGAAGAAAATTTCTTGGTCATCGGATATTGAAATTACGTTTTAATGGGTTATAAGTACTACAGAATTTTAGCTTCTAACACACTTTTGAAATTCAAAATACTATAAAACAATATTTGAAATAATATGAAACAATATTCAAACAGAATAGTATCAAGCTTTGCTATTTAAAACAGATTGTGTTCTTATGTCGGTTATTCAATAAATTACCATCAAATTATTGACAATCAACAACATTACAGAAATCAAGCACCAATCTTTTAAATATCATATACTTGTACCAATAGAACACAATGTCACAACACTAAGAACAAAACAAAGAAATCTTTCGGTTGTAACTGTCAATTATGGAGATAAAACACGTCTGATTTTGGGTCAAACATCAGAATTGTAATTGCAACATGATAGAGCAGCCATTATTGTACAGACACCAGCAGGTAAAGCTACTCCACTCTATAACTTTCTCATTTAATATTCGACTTTAAACGAAAAGTATAAAGGTGATAGTCAAATAAAGGAAGTTGACAGAAAGGAAGAGGTTGACCTGTTGGTTGATGACGGTGGTACAACTGGTAATGATGACGTAGAATACAATGATTATTGTCAGCACAATGCAAAGGAAACGTATTTAGCTATTGTTGTAATATCGAAAGTAAATACTGAATGATGTCATAATTGTGAGGTAATAGAGAACTGGGTTGATGTGGGTTTGGTTAGGAATGACAATTAATTTCATTTAAAGATACGGCATCTTTGATAAAAAATCTCCCAATAAAAATGAACTGAGGTATCTGCTGAAAATCTTTCCTAAACATCTGTGTCTTTTCTTATTTTCGTTTTTATAACTTTGAGTCCTATAGAAATATTACAACAGCCAAAATCGTTATCGTGACCAGCTAATCCAATTATAGTTTTATCCATCTTTTCATCAACATCAACAATTCTCAATTTTTTACCTTCATCCTCAACAGTTTCTTATTCAACAGCTTCTTAATATTATAACTATCAAAAAACGCCATTTTGGTAGCAAAACGGTTGCAACACTGGTAATAAAAAATAAAAGTCGTGGTTCTAAGCACAACGGTAAGCTCCTAAGTTGTGTAATCCTATTAATCAGTTTATCGCCATGGTGAACTGATTTACCGTGGCTTCATCGTTTAGTCAGTGCGCGCTTCTAGATTGGTCAATTGAAATCAGACACCATTTTCTACTGGGTTAGAAATATGTTGCTTGAAACTAAAATATTGTGATTGGTTGGTTAGCTGTTTAATGGATTGAAATAATCGGTTTTATTTTGTAATTGAAGAGAGAATGATGACAAGCGTCTTAATCAGAGTGAAGGTTACTTATGATCTATGATACATTCTCACTCATATTTTTAACCTTTAATTTTAAAAACTCTGCTTCATCTAGTTCTTTAAAAATTTACGTGTAAAGGTGCTGCTTTGTAGACGATTTATTCCATTCTAATACCAAAAACTAATACCACTGGTATTTGATTCAACTCTTATTTTTTTTCTATTCCGAACGGATACTACTTTTTAAATAATTTAATTTAATGTACGAACGAATACCAACAACTTGAATTTGGTACAGTCAGCGCAGTCAAACCTAATCAAAGTAAATTTGTTTTTCAATATTTTTATTTAATCGTAATATAAAGCGACGGAACATTCGATTGCACCCCCTGAGCCTTTTGTGCAGTTATATACTATCCACGGAGATCTGGGAAGTGACGAAGATCACACTCGTATAGTTCCTCTTATTTATTTTTTCTTAGTTTTACATAACAAAAAAACAGAAGAAAGATTCAAAAAATTATTTAAAATTTTGAAACAAAACATTCCTGGGTGGGAACCCGTAAAATTTTTAACAGATTTTGAACTAGCCGAAATGAACGCCATTACAATTGTTTTTCCGTCAGTTGTGATTAAAGGATGCTACTTTCATTATTCCAAAAATGTATGGAAAAAAGCAAAACAGTTGGATCTGACAAAAGATGCTATCACCCAAAGACACGTAAGACTTTCAGCTTTACTGCCTTTACTTCCTCGGAAATTCATATCAGAAGGATGGTGCTACACAATGGAAGACTGTCCTGATACTGACGCCATTCAAACATTTAATGACTACATGGTATCACAATGGCTAGAGAACGAGAGTTTTGTAGACATTTGGTGCGTTCATGGTGAACTCCATCGAACCACAAATGCCGTAGAATCTTGGCATAAGAAATTAAACTTGGTTGTGCCAAAGAATGCTAATTTATATCAGCTACTGAACGTGCTGAAAGAGGACGCAGATTTACAAACAGTGGTTGTTACTCAACCAAAATGTTGTTACTACTAACTTTTGTTGTTGTTGTTACTAAATCAAACGCACCCCCCGCAAAACGATGTGCACAGACAACTATTATGAAAAATTCGTGGATCACATACGTAACTGACCAACTCCTCAAAAACAAAATCTCCGTAGGTCACTGCTTCGAAAAATTAAGGGTTTAGCTAAGAAATATAAGAAATGATTTACATGTCATTTAGCTGATTATACTAATAGTAGATTTTCTGTGATATTTTATAATTCTTAGATTATAAGTGAATTATTCATATATGACGTTTTTGCAAAAAAAAAATGCTGATTCATTGCTATGTAAGTGATGAATGACTGATTTGATTATAGAAAAAGTTGATTTTCTGTGATATTTTACAATTGTTAGATAAAAAGTGATTTATTTTTGTTAAAAATTTACCTGACATAGTTGTTATGAGATAGGTAGACGTGAATAATTACGTACCTATCTAATAATAACTATGTCAGATAAATTTCAATATAAATTAAGAGGTATTTTTTTGAGATATTTTGTAATTTTTAGATTGTAAGTAAATTCTTCCTGTTTGATGTTTTTGCAAAAAAAAAAATATTATACAGGTATAGAGAGGAACTAAAATTATATTAAAGTTGATTATTTAAGTGATATTTTATCATTGAACAAGACGTTTGCTAACAAAATTTGATTTTTTTCGAGTTATCTGTTTTTTTTTTTCAATTAAAAGTCTTATATTTACATACAAAGCATTTTTACTGACTGTACCTTATATCTTCGAACTTGTTTTGGTATTAGTTTAAACAATGGTATCGGTTCGGAATAGAAAAAAAATATGAATTGAAACAAATACCAGTGGTATTAGTTTTTGGTATTAGCATGGAATAAATCTTGTAGACTACAAAAATAAATTCATTCGTTTCAATTGTTACTAATAGGATTTTTACTTTTGTTTTATAAAGTTTGTATCATTGGTCCAGTTTGCCTAGTGATCTCAAGTATTATACTTATCTAACCTTTAATGTATGCGCATGGTCTAGATGTGGAGCTATATTGATCATTATTATGTGGCTTCATCTTCGAGAGACCAACAGTATAGCACGTGAAATGAAAGCGTGCTTATTCCGTCAAATTTTCTTCCAGTTGCAACTTTTAGTAAGTTTCTAATACTTATTAGTTTTATAATAATAACTAGCGAAAGTTACATCTCGGCGGCTTCTTTATGGTAATAGTCAAGTATAACTTTATTACTGATAGATAACGCCTTTCCATCAATAAATTGTCACTTAACATGTACATATTTATTTTCTCTATTAAATAAATTTATTTCGTAGCAACACTGCCATGCTTGGCCATAGATAGTAAATCCGTTTATGTCATTCCTATTTTGTTCTTGTCAGCAAAAAAAATGTAATCGATATAATTTTCGATAAATCATGTACCAATGTTAAAAAAACGAATTTAATTTAACAAGGCAATGCGTTCTGTCCTTCATAACCCAGCATAGAAACAATTAGAAACAGATTAAGATCAGGAACTGACTTCTCGACTAACTACTTGATTATATCTTGATAGAAAACATATTTCGAAGTCACGACAAACGTTTTGTTACAACGCCAAAACAGTACTATACTGTAATAAATCATAAGCAAGCCCTTGCTTAAATTCTTAATTGCCATATTGTACTTGAACAGTAACTAATAAACTACAAAATAGACTTTATTACTTTGGATTAAGACATTAATAGTGTCATGATTGTGAAACCTAACAAACAATTTGTAAATACATTTTATAATATCATCAACATGCATTCAATACACCAAGATACTACTAATCATTTCGACGTTTCAATGGACCAGAGATCAAACTGAACAAATCGGCATATCACGTTTTGAATCGCAACGAAAATGTCAAATGACATCGTTCACCTTGAGGGCGCCATAGTTGCATTTATTGTGACCACAGATAATTTAGAGTGTTTACATTCTGTCATTTTACAAATTGGCGGTAACATTTTGAGCGCCCAATCAGAAGCCTCCATTTATATTCGCAAGTTTTAAATTACCAATGACTCTTTGCTTTTCGATTCACATTATTATTATGTTATTGTTGACAAGTATACTTTAAATATACCTTAAATTCTGATTAAAGCAAAATATCTCCATTACATTTCGTAATACATCCACAGCAGCGTTTAGTTGCATCACTTAGAAAAAATAAAAAAGTTTCATACGCCCACATCTTTACGAGTTCCGTCGAAATTTCGATTGCGTGTGAAAATAAATGAAAAAAATATTATTATCATCACTTCATAGGTGGTTAATGAACATCCAAAATGTATCTATTTTTGTGTGGGCGACAATGGCGTCGTATTGGTAGATATTTAAGCAATAAAATATATAAAGATACTAAAGTACACGCCATTCTTATTTCCACCTGTCTCGATCACCTGTCCCTTTCATTTTAAGGCGAAATGAGGCGACAGAACGACTTTTGACCAAAAATACCGTTTTCCTATTTAAGAGTCTAAATGCTATGAAGTTCGGAATACGATGAAGTAATAAAATGTGTCTTTCATATGCTGTTTACAAAAGTGTTTAAATTGAAATTAGATTTTTAAGTACAACATGAGTATTGTGTGAGTTCAGATCGGAACCAAAGAAGACGAAGTTCAAGAGGTTAGATAAGTCTTTCCCAAATATAGCCATGTAAGATGCCTGATTGCCAAGCAAACTGTAGCGACTATTCCTAGCATTAAAAACATCATTTGAGTGCAACAACTTATCCAGTCTCAATTTGCAACTAAATTCAGTGAAATCATTACCTATCATCTAACAAGGAGGATTCTCAAACAAATTATGTCTGATTTGAATTAAGAACATCAACAGACATTCTAACAACTTTCCCAATCCGATTCCGTTTTCCCATGCAATCGGAATTAAAACGACTTCCAACGATCTCGATAAATTTGTAATTTGGTATGTAATGGTATCTATCTTGTTATTTAAATGAATGCAACGTTAGGGGAACCTTGTAGCCATAATGATACTATATAGCATTCATGGGTAATGCTTAATTCCATTGAATGAGATGCATACAGCGTGTAATTTTTTCAAATTGAGCTTGCTTACCCAATTCGGCGGTATTTCCGAACCGATACGACCTTCAAACCTTCAAGAAAAGAGCGTATTCCTTTTTAAAAGGCCGGCAACGCACTTGTGACTCCTCTGGTATTGCGGGTGTCCATGGGCGGCGCTGATCGCTTACCATCAGGTGATCCGTCGGCTCGTTTTCCTCCTATTCCATAAAAAAAATTAAAATGATACTACTGGATTTTTCATTGAACTGTGTTTGACTTCACATATCATTTGGTGCTGAATTAATAACAGCATTAAAACCTACTATGCTAAATCCAAACACAATTCTTCAGCAACACTATTCATATTCATCTTCAGCTAAAAACATGTTTTCATTCTAACTTCTGACATTACATTGCTTCAAAGTAACTCCTGATCTATATCATCACACATTAACAGCCTCATAAAATCCCTAAACCAAAATTCCTAGTATTGTCCTATCTTTAGTCCTATCTTAATACTAAAATATTACTTATACCATTAACATTATCTAGGTCTTTACCTAAAGCCTTACGAGGTATCTGACTAGTTTCTTTCTTCAGATCCAATCTATAGTCCTTCATCTCAAGTGCAACTAAGAAAATGTTGCCAGTTGCTACGTCGATATTTTGTGATGCCGTTTTACAACTAAACACTTCAAAGTCTGGTTGGTGTGATCTGAGAAGATTACTCGTATTGGTGGTTATTCTGATAGTAAAGTGTCAGTTATTTTTTTCAAGTTGACTCAGAACTTCGTTATGTTTTTTGTCTTACACAATATGCGACGTAACGCTGATACTAGGTTTAATTTTAATAGAATTAATAACATCAAATCGGTCATGACAAGCATATCTTTCGATTTCACGCGTCTTAAGTCCACGAGTCGGTAACAAGACGAGTTATTACTTTTTTTTAATTTTCAAAATATTTAAACAGGAAAATGTTTTAGTACTAGATGGAAATTCCATGTTTTAAAGATATTTCCATTGTTGAATAAACACCGTAATATTAGCCGTCATACTCAGAGGCGCGTGCGCCACAGCCAGAGCACGTTCGCCTTTTGTTCGATTTTCAAATTTATTTTTTTCACACTAAACGGCTTTGAGTTATTGTGTCAACAGCCATTGTTAATTTTGATTGGTCGGTCTTCGTAACACCGTGATCTTTTATTGTGTAAACTTTATATCTTTTTTCTTCTTTTTATAAAAGTTAGGGCCGGCTTCTTTCAAGTCTTATTTCTCTGTTACGCAACCAATTCTTGTATCGGAAACTATGATCTTGTTTATTACGAGATCCGCATTCTTATTTTGATGAGTATCGATAACATTGTGTTTGTTATGGCTCTTATGTTTAGTTATTTGCTTCTAAAATATGTGCAGTTGGTATCATCATTAATGATCTTTATTTCGAAACCGGTGATCACAAAAATCTATAGTGCCTCAGAAGTCACTAAAATACCAGATTCTAAATCGTCATTCAAATCTCAAATCAAGCCCTGTGATTGGTTGTCATTATTTTCTTTTACCGACTCTTTTGACAAACTCCTTTCGGAAACCCTTAGTATTGTATTTTTCTTTATACCTTCATATTTTGTTCTTACACAGGTATTGCAACGCGACGTGGAATGCCACGGTCGGATCGTGAGTTCGGTGGTACGGCTGTGCGGCGGTGGAGACGCTGCGCGAGCGCTTGAGAGACGGTGGCATCTGCTGTACCTGAGGGCTATTGAGTGGCAGTGTCATCTGGAAGCTTGTCTTGCTAGGATCGATAATCAGGTATGGAGACATTTTCATTCGTAATAAATGTTAGTGTGTGTGTGTGTATGTTATGGCCAGAGGTCATCTCACTCTTAAACTGGCCAATCCGCAAGCAAGTACCAATCTTGAGTAAAATTAAAATTATCAGACAAATGTTGATATTGTTAATCCTTACTTATCATGACTATGTAGAAGTTATCTACTGTAGACCTAGAATGCATTGTGTTTTAGAATATAGATAGCTGCTGTAAGAAAACCTAGGAATAGGGTTAAACAAATTACCGCACTAGTTGCAAATATAAAACAGTTTTGTTGTTTAAACTGCCTACAATGTCAAGAAACATCTAAAATCACTCCAACTCCCAGGATCGAAAAATCACACGTAACCAAAAAATACAAACGATGCATTTAACGCATTTCCCCTTTCTCCAAAAAAGACCATGCAGCCATTGATAGTGGTTTGCAATTTCTCACCAACAAAAACACAATGGACCAATCAACCACCCGGCGCTGTTTGCAAACACTAGAGACCCCAAGCTGTGTAGAAAATTGATTCATTGATTCATCCCCAACTATTTTGAAGTAATTGACCGAAATGGCGATAGGGTGACGATCAATGTCAAAAACTTTTATTGGAGACATGAATTGTGTGGGATTTTATGCTAGGTTTTTGAGATTATTATCCGAAATTATAAGAATAATTACCACAGTATTTACAACAATAACCTAAGTCCGTATATATTATTATCAGTTCTGAATTGCCGATAATATTTCAACATTGTTATTCATATAAGTGACTGGATATTTTGCAATACTCACACGTACTTAATGCTAAAGGTTTTTCGTTGACAATTAACTAAATGTTAATTATTAACTTTATAGAGACTAACATAAATTATATCATCTTAACCTTTGGTTAAAATATAGCAAACGTGGCTTGACATTACAACACTGTTGAAAATAACATGACATTTATTAACTAAATAATACTTAGGACAAAACAGTACTTTATGTTCAAAACAATAGTACAATTTAAGCCCACACAAACATTAAAGGGTTAATACACACGTGGCCTTTCTCCACAAATAAATAATTCCACTCACATGCTTTGTTATGATTTCTCGTTGCTAAGCAACCGATGACCCATTTAATAGTTCGCATAGGGATAGTTTAGACCATAACGGCTCATTTAAGGGTTAATATCAACCGTTTTGTGGCCGTTTATGAATACGTAGGGATCTAAAAATGACTTTTATTGGTCATAAATAAATTTTAAATGGATTTGGTTGGATATCGTACGAATGGGAGTTGTAAATATTAAATGAGTTTTATGCTTGGTTTTAGTATGTGCTTGAGTATGAGCGTGTGATCGCTATTGGAGTGTTATGCCTTTTGGGATCAAGTTTATAGGACTTTGAACTTTAGTCAGAAACGAATAAAGTTGTTATCAGTATGATTATTCGTAGCGAATGGTCTTGTTAATGAGTTTCTAGTTGTTCGCTTGTTCTGTCTATCAGAAATGAAGTATATATAATATGCTTTGATTATTCTGCATAGAAGTTATTCTTATTCAATCACCAACAACTACATCCAGTTTGACGACAATTTATCCTCCATATTTATACAGAAAATCATTTAAATTTTAAGTACATTCTACCTATACTAATTCACCATCTCCTTCTGTTCCAGGGCTGCATATCAGCAGAGGCTGTAAGTGACAGTGACGACGAACCTGCCTTGAAGCAGCCGCGCCTGAGCAGGCGAGGGTCCCCACGCAGACAGAGAACTCCAGTCAATGCGAGACGAAGGGACAGCTCGCTGGATAGCAGACAATCTGCGTCAGAGGTGAGTTCAGAGATAACAAGTATATAATTATTTTATGTTAAACGATTTTAATGAACTCGATTATTCCAAAAATCCATTAATATATCTTCCAAAAAAGAAGATAATTCTTCCTAAAAAGAAGATAATTCTTACTAAAAAGGAGATAGTTGCGGAAAAATATGATTATAATATTATTTGATCATCTAGATTAAGAGTGTGTACTAAATGTCACATCGATCGGTCATCAACAAGAGATTGAAATTCGAATAACTAACTTTAACCCAAACAAATAAGCTTAGTTAAAAAAAATAAAGGATAAAATGATAGAAAGAGTAAAAAAATACCACGACGAAATAGAAAGAGAGAGATATAATCCTTTTTGTCTTTGCAACTTACGTTCATAGTAACTTAAGTTACTTGAGTCGTCATATTGTAAACACCGGGTAGTCAGGCGTTGGCAGCCTTTGGGAAAGGGATTGTCCCTTCGGTAGCTTTATGCACTCGACAAAATACAACGCGAGCTTTGTTTCACGTAAAATTTTCTGATAGAGGAGTCATCACATTTATTAACTCTTTAATGCATACAAAAATAGGTATGGACTTAATCTTACATGGAATTTTTCCATTTTAGCCCTCTTTGAAACTCAGAAGCTGTAAGTATTTTGTAGGATATTAAACGAATTGTCTTCAAACAAATGTTACCAATCCTTTCTCTTATTTGCAGGAGGAACAAGAATATGTGTTAAAGTACACGTGGCGCGGCTTCGGGTCGGACTGCGAGACGGAGTTAGACAGAGCGAGGTACATAAATATGGCGGACGAGAGACGAGTACCTGGTGCCTGTGACGTCACTGCGAGGACCACGGACCAGACTGTGCCTGCGACAGATCATGTGGATGGTAAGATGCCTGACCTTTTGCTAGAAGTAGTTATTTTGGTTGAGATAATTTGGATTTTAAAGCTTCTGAATATAAACACAAACGACACTACTATTAGTTTGCTTGCAATTGAATAAGTGTAGTAAGTCACAGATATTGCGTTAGTGTACCTAATAATTATTCTTATAATAATATGATATATTAGTAATTAAATATGACGCAGAAATATTTCCCTTCCGCTTCATTTCCCATAGACAATAAAAACAAGCACTCATGAATAGAAAACAACATCAATGAACAACGCTTGTCATTTCCACTCAATTAATAAAATAATAGCATTGTACTTATTGTCTTAAATGCACAATAATTTATAAATAAACAGATGACGGCATTTACTTTCAAAGCTAAAGCAGTAGCGTCTTCCACAGGATTGGAAACACACGTCCATATAGAGGATAAATTAAAGACACCTCCAACGGTAATTAAAAGGAAAAAGCCAGTAGACACGTCGAAATTTAATCAAACCGATCGCAAATCGAAACATCTAGCTACATTCTACTTTAGACACCATGACACAGACTCCGACAGACAAATGATCGAAACAGAAAAGTCACAGGAAGAGTCTAGCGAGGAAGAATGGACTTACGTCGGTGGTGCTAAAATTGGGAATGAAGATTCCACTGATATAATGACGTCATCCGTTGAGATCCAGTGCGAACTACCCCTAGATGAAAAGAAAGATAAGCCACCTTCTCCGAAACCGAAGCTAGAGTCCTCGACACCAGATTTGCTTAGAGTAGAAAGGTGTAAAGACATAGAGAGGTTGGTCAATCAGGCTGAAGAATTGGTGCAGAAACAGGCGCTATCAAAGAAGAAGGGATCGAGGAGCTTCAAGCCGCTGTCGTTTGATGAAGAGGGGAAGAATGTGAGCAGGAACAAGATGTCGAGGATCAAGGAATGGTTGAACCAGAGCTCGGAAGGCAAGAGTGATAACAATCAGGTTAGTTTTGAACATAAAATGACCAACAACAGAGACAGTTTAGCCATCTCTTAACCAAGGGTTATATAGCGTGAGCGTATCACTTGTAAGAGCGAAACTAGAAATCGATAGAAAATATCCAAACGATCTCATAGACCCATGCGACTTTGAACACGAGATCTTATCAATTTTGATCAAGAAATTGGCCGTTTCTTTCGCATGCATTTTTCAATAATTTTCTCTTTGTTTTTTTCCAGGGTACAGAAAGCTATGACGCCTCAGGAGAATACACAACTGAAAGTGAAGTGGACACCTCGTTGACATCCGAAGAACGAAACATTCACTCCTCCATGGATATGAGCACTTCCACCTGCACAGTAACTCCCACACACCACGCCAAGGTAAAATAAACTTTACTAGCGATAAATAAACACTAAAATCGTAAACGCTTTATGTGTGTGTCACTAATTTACTCTCAACTAAATGATATACATATAGTGCTAACTATAAAACCAGTAAATAACTTTAAATCTTATGTAAATTATAAATTTTAACCTTAACGTCTTCTCCAGAAGGTTCATTATATTATTACTATTGTCTCTTATACTGTGATTTACCCACATTATTGACTAACTCTAAGCAAATTGTACATAACAAAATGGTTGAGGCATACTCTCGCTTTAGGTAACACTCCGTAAGAAGCGAGCTGGCAACAGCGCACGACCGTGGTCTGTCTCCTGCCTATCGCAACTCAGTGGCGCCGGCGCATCGCTCGTGGCCACGCCCACAGCTGGCGACGTTGCCGCTATGTCACACAACATGTCTATCTCTGAATCTGCTTTGAACACACTCGCGTCTCCACAAAGAGTTACTCCAGCAAATTCGAACTCCAAACTCCGTGGAAGTTCAACCACTGTACAGGTATTGGCTTATTTACGTGACATTAAATTGAAAATCACAGAAGCTACATTCTTTCCAGTATTCCTGTCACTTTTTCTGAAGCACTTCTTTAAGAGACTTGAAAATTTTTAAAGATTAATGCTACCTACGATGAAATATGTATGTTGCATTGTAGATACAGTTTTTACCAAACAATATTAGCTATGAGCGAGTCAAGACGATCAACCAAACTTAGACCCTCGAATTAAATTCACCCCTTTCCCCACACAGGGCCACGTATCAAGCACGAACACGATGACAGAAGCTTGCACGTCCTGCGTGGAAGCGAGCGACAAACACGGCTGGCTACGACGAAAGAGGTTGAAGTTCCGACGCAACAACACCGCGGTACGGCGGGGAGAGAGACTCGTCAAGTCACTCTCTTTTTGTGGGAGACTGAGCCCAGAGATAGAAGATAAGCATGAGAGGAGTGCCGCCAGTGACCCCGCTACTAGCAGGAAGAGCAGGTTTGTGCATAAGTAAATACTGGATTGGTCAGTTTTCAGTTATTACTGGCCAATCAGTAAAAACAAGATTATTTAGTTCTTCAAATAATATGACGTGAAATAGTCAGTTGAGTTGATTCTACTCAACAAAATTAAATTGTAGTCAGGCATCATCTTTAACTGTATTGTTTCTCATCAGGTTCGACACAACATCGACATCAGGCAACGACAGCGACGAGGAACTGATCAAACAACAGCTAGCCACAATCGCCCACCTGCGCAAGAGCATCGAAAAGACCCACATCTCGACTAGGGAACCCGATAGTGCCATTCCAGAACAAAATGAGGCCGAGCCTGTGGCCCCGAGCTTTAAACTGGGCCCAGCTGGAGGACCCGTCAGGCCACGACTCGCTCGAAGCCTTGAGAGGGAGAGGAACTTTATAGCCCTCAGTTTAGGAGACCCCAGTCGGTTGTGGGACTTATCTATTGACAAGGACTCCGATATAGACAAAAGTGTGACTGCTGGAACCGAAGAACATAGCTCATTCTCTGAACAGGCGTGGGATTTCTATCAGGTTTGTAATTACATTCATTGAAGTTACTTTTTTGGATAATTAATGAACTGACAAAAATGAAAGAGTTTAACATTTTTGGTTTTCTTTTACAGGAAAAGTACAACTCGGAACCATATTCAGAAGCTCCAGACTCAGACGCAGCGCGACGTCTGCTAGAGTTCGGTGACGACTACCGCGCATTCCTCGACTCGCAGTCTGACTGCTGCTCCAGCTTGTCCGCGCAGCCCGAGAACGACCAGAGCCCCAGTGGCACACGTCGCCGCCGCCCTCCGTCCGATGTATCTAGAGAACGAAGCCTCCCACGACACAAGCGACCTACCAGAAACTCGCCAATAGAAACGCCCTCGAGAAAACCTAAGAAGTCCATGTCTAGCGCTGAGCGTAAGAAGTCGCTCCTTGACAGTCTCGAGCGATCCAGAAACAACACTAGCATCGAAAGCAGTGAAGGTGTCCGTCGTCGCAAACCTTCGGAGAGCGAACGCAAAAACAGTAAGCGATCTCCCGAATTCGACTTGCTCAACGTACAGGCTCTGAGCCGCAGACGACACAGCTCAAACATGACCAGCGACGAAGTAAACAGCTCGCTAGAGTACACCGAGGTGAACAACCGACCTGATATACTGGACTCGCTGGGCAGGCGGAGGAGGACAGACAATGGCGAGTCGGAATTACAGAAAATCGCGTTGTCTGAGCTGCGGCGGCGATCAACAGAGAGCGTGGAGTCGGAGGACGAGTCGTCGAGCCCCACAAAGCACAGGCGGCGCAGCTGGGACTCGGGCTCGGAGGGCTCGGCGGCGCGCGCGCTGGTGCGGCGCTCGGGCGCGGCGCTGGGCGCGGCCGAGGCGCTGCTGGCGCGCCACGACGCCGAGCCCGACCTGCTGCGCGCCTTCGACTACGTAAGGACACAATTCGATACCGATTTCAGTAGTAGCTATTCGGACAGCGACGACAACGCGTCGTGCGTCACGCGCCGCCCCGCATGCTTGCGCGCGCGGCTCTGCCTGGCCGTCGCCGCCTTCTCCGTCCTAGTTATAGTTTACATACATCTCCAATGACATATGGCTTGGGCTTGTGTGATATTTATCATTATTTATGTAAGTATTCGTATTAGGTTCGCTGCGATCGTCAGACGCGAAAGATACGTAGTCGTGCCTATAGATACGCATTGACAACGAACTCATTTTTATAGTTATTTATAGGAAATGTTACGTTTGTTCTGATAGTCAATTGTCAGCTTGTTTTAGCTGCATTTTACAAATGCATGTAAAAATGTAAGCAGATATGCATAGGTAGGTAACTACGATCTCTTATAGACATTCCAATATATGACGTGAGTACTTATAGTGTGAATAGTTGTAATTAAAGTTAATGTACAAACTGCAGCATTTATAGTTTATAATCTATAAATGCTAGTGAATACGTAAGTCTGACCATCGCAGTATACATATGGATATATTACTTACTAACTTATTAATTTATTTCATCAATATTGTGACAGTTTCACAAAATATTATGTGGTTTACATATTTTTGCTCAGAATTATTTTATACTAGAATGTGATCAGTATTTTTGGCTTTAGTACACGAGTGAAACTATCATGATGTGATCCTATTTTTACATATACATAAATTAATTCATTTCCATTAAATGTTTGAGTTTTTCTTTCTACTAACATCGTTTGTTGTGTGATTGTGATTTGTGTAGTTTTTACTAACTGCCTGATTTTTTCTTTTTTTAATCATCCTCATCGTTTTCGTGGTGATAACATGGTTCTAGGCCAAGTCAGCGAATTAGGGAAAGCGTTACATTTATTGAATAATTAGTGTATAAGTTAGGTGCTGAGGTAATGAACGCTTGGGTTTAAAATCATTCGCAATCATTTAGCTTAACGTCTGAAAAACTTGAAATGTCAAATTGACAGATGTCACATTTGACGTTTTCGAGTCAGTTCGGAAATGGGGATCATTTTAAATCGCTCAAATATTGATTAATTTATTATTTAATTTACTAGACTTGGTGCATCGTTATTGAATAACGTGAATTCTTGTCATTGAGTGATATAATTTTACGTACTTAACGATAATGTTACTTTGTCAATATTCTACTTAATCTTTGGTTGTATTTTTGTATCAATATTACGTTTAAACTTGGCATAATATTAATATTTTTCTTTGTAATTGTGATTTGACTGAACTCCTACATCTCACGGAATAGTTGTACATGTATTAATATTATGTTGAATAGGGATAGGTTGTTAATTGATCTTATTTTTACAAAATGTTAAAGAACCAAGTGATCTTTGTATAAATGGTTGAAAAATAAATGCAAAATTTTAAAAATTCAATTTGGAGTTTCAGTCAATTAACACCCTACTCTAAATACTACACAACAGACAGATATACATGATCTAAGTCAGCACATATAGATAAATTTTCAAAATTCTTTCCTTACCATTGCAGTGGGCCTTTTTCTGCTTTTCTAATATGTTTTGGCGTTTAGTTTGTGATAGCTTGGGTATTTTGTTTGCAAAAAATAAATTCAAATCTGTTAAATAAAACCAGTGATGCTGCATGTTTTTTTTTCTCACACACACTATGTAAAAATAAAATTAATTGAACGGTGTTGTCAGTTGTCAAAAACGAAGAATGTGATGGATAATAATAAAGTGAGTTAGTTGTAATTTAATAACTAAGTTTGTGTAATATATGTTAACACTTGAATATATAACTTAAATGTTTATTTTTGAGTTTTGTTTTTCGTTTTTGCAAACTTTATTTTTTTGGTTGCACAGACGGAGATCGTCAATCGTTGCCGGGAAAATATCAACCTATTAGACGCGGCCTTGGCAAGCGGCTCACTTTCTTCCACTTTGCAACGTGACGTTAGAGGTTAGTACAAAACACAAATTGAACACCAAAGTCTAAAAATCTTACTAAATATTACATCCAAATGCATTTTTACGTCAAAGTTTGCACAAAATGTCACAAACAAGCCAAATGGTCACCGCAAAAATCACTCAAGTTGACAGCTCTAACCACATAAAAGTTAATTTAAAAAAAGAACATGACAAGACAATGCAATTGCATTATGAACACAACTGCAAGCATGAATATCTTGTTCCATGCAAAACTTCTGACGGTTGGTGGTCATGCACCGCAGTTACTCATGTTACGACCGGTTTCCGAACGAACTCCCGCCGATTATTGTCCAATCTCGGCACAGACCTACTATAATATGGACCAGAAATACCTACAAAATACGCGTGCATACCTACTAGAAACCGCGGCCTAAATATGGCTGCCATTGCTAGGGAAGACTGTAGTCAAAACCAAAAAGTATCGATATCGATAGCCAAGTTTTATACATTAAAAATCTTCTGGTACTTTGGATGTTTTTTTAAGGTACAAATCATCGAATGACTTCTAGCGCTCTGGGTAGAGCGGGGGGCACGTCAGACTATTACTGGCTAAAACCATACCCAAATGTCCCCGTTTATTATCTCTTATCTCTCTCTACCGGTCTCCGGGCGGTGCATAGTCCACAAAATGGTGGCACCGGGGTGTTTCTTCCGCCTGAATCCGATACAGGAACTTAAGCGCTTGTGTGCTCGTAAAAATAAATGGTTTAAAAAAATACCAGTATGTGTTGTAATTGTTTATTGAAGAATAATACTGCAAAGTGTAATGAACAAATACGTGACGCTTTAAGTCCAGGTTTGATATTTTTCGTCCCAATGACTTCAAGCCACTTCTGACGCAGCACTTCATTTCTAGGGAATCTGTTGAAATAAAAAAAAAACATAAAAATTATTTCAGTTTTGTGCATTTAGTGGAACAAATTATAAAATGACAGCACCTACTGTATGGAGAATTAATATTATTGTTTTGGTACTATCCCTATTTTTATTTCTATTCTGTAAGATTTATTTTCAAAATCGTCTCTTCAGACCCTTTACAAACTAAAAATATGTTAGTTTCTTATCGATATGTTATTAAATAAAATACATCACTATTGTAAATCGTCATTTGTATTGTAAACAAAACATAAAACAAATTTAGCAAATGAAGTTAGTTATTAGAACCAAATGCAATGTACATTTGGGGGTTTCTATTCTATATATAAAACAAGGCTAGATAAACAAGAAAACTAATAGTATGATAAAGTTTTTCTTAAAATACGGCTACTAACCTGTGCATAGTCAAATGAGGTTGATTGGGGTTTTTCCTTGCCCCACACTGAATTATTGAACTAGTACACATATTGAATATGCACCACCAGACACTTACAGCACAAAACAATTTAGTTAGGAGCATTTTTATTGATAAAAATCGAAATCCAAATCCAATGTTGTTGTTCGCTTGACACCTGACGTACTACAAAACTATACGGCCTAAAGATGGCGGCTGGCACGCGAGGTAGGTACCTTGTCAGAAATGTAGAAATGTTGCCAGGCAGAGAATAAACAAACCACATGACGTCTCTTTCTTCAAATTAGGTTACTCATTGATTAAAAAGGGACAAAGTGTGGTTTCATATTTCTATATCGATGTGATATATATTTGTATAAGCAAATAAGCTATAGATCATTACGGCGCATCTATATAATACTAAATCTATGAATCTCGGTCGCAATCAAGGCCCGACGCCATATTTGGACTTTCAGACGACGTCTTTGCTTTTTCTTTTTCTTTTTTTTACTTGTAACTTGAGAGAGGTTAAATTATACCAAAAGCTGGTCTGGTTTGCAAATTGTGTTGTACAGAAACCGTTTTGTTAAGGTATCGATGCTGTGTAAAAGTAATCAGGTTTGGTTTTATATTACACGTACTTTCTTACTACCTATATTATATTTTTACAATACAGTGAATAGAATCGGAAATATCTTTCAACGGAATGTCAACAATTAATAAACGAATACCTACCAACTTAGCAAAGAATTGACCTCGATTCAATACAATCATTCGAAATGTCAATGGTTGACGTTTTTGAAAACGTTTAGAAATCGACCACCTGTCAACGGCCTTAGCTTTTATTAAATATAATGTTCATAGAATATTCTTGTGCCTAATCACCATGAGTTCAGTACAAACGGTTTAATTCCACACCTTTCTGGACTGGACACAATTTACTCTCTTTAAACATCTCCTTTGAAGTACAAACATGCAAATAGTAGTTACAAATGTGGAGGCGATTGTGGTCTAAAATAGGGTTGATCCTAACTTTATTGTATTGTTAATAAAAATGCGTAAAATTTCACAGTAGATAATTTCTGAGAGATGGTGCAACTTTGAGATTTTTGCAGTTTCTTAAAAGTCAATGACGACATCTTTCATGTTATCTTTTTAATGGTGCCGGTGTCATCAAATTGTTATGTTACAAACCAACCTTATAATATATCTTTAGATATATTCTGTAAGTACTACAATCGTAATGTGAAGGACTCTCTTTCCTTTAACAGAAAAAAAAGTGTTCGTCGTAATATCTATTACCGGTGACAACCCTGAATCCCGGAAACGGCGACACGCCGGCCGATCATACGCGCATTCGTTCGTCTCCATCTATTTCTGCCTACGAAAGCGGAACGGTCTCGCTAACTATGAAAGTGTGGACACTCTTACCTTTTTTTGCGAGACCCATATGTGCCTTGACGAACAAAGTAATTTATTTGATTCGCTGTTGAGTTTTAAGTAATAGTTTCTGATCTCACCAACAGATGGCGTTGTATTTCAGTTGTAGACTGCATACTATTACTACTAGTGACTTCAAATGTAAAAAGTGACAAGTAAGCATGTACTTAAAGTGTATCCTTAAATAACCATTCAGAAAAACCTCTGATCTTGTCTTGAAGCACTTAGTTTGAAGCCACCATTTAAAAAGTTTATTTGTAGATAAAATCTTAAGTAAACGCTTTATAAACGTGTGTACAATATTATCTAAAAATACAACATGAACGAGTTACCCCTGCGTTCATTTTGTTTTCTTTTTAACAAATGTATGTCCCAAAATAAATATTATTTTAGTCCACTACGTGGGAAGAGCAGGGGATTCTGAACCTTATGTCTATGCCGTGATAATTAAAGTTGCAAGAACTGTATAAGTCATGTGTAACCCCAAAATCTACATTGCGACACCTGTATGCAAACTTTGCAGTTGGCAGACTGTGTGTAGACTAGATAATGCAGTTATTAGCATAATACTGTGTACCTAGTTCTGCAACTAATGTGGTAACTTTTACAAATAGAACTAATAGTTGTTGCATTATTGTAAAGCATTTATATTTTGAAGTAGACACCGCTGTCATTATGTAAAAACATGATGTTGAAACCTCCTTTCTATAGACTATACCACCGATATTTAAAAACAGAACGGTTTGTAAAACAATGACTGGCTGTTAAAAATTACAGTTCTAATAAAAAAAATACAAACAAAAACGCCGTTCGAATTCAAATTTAGAACATTTTTGTTAATAATTATATTTTTTTTAAAAATGATATCGTCCTAGACGCCTTTTAACCGACTTCATGTTTGTCTTACCAAATCTAGATTTGTAATTAAGTACACAATGATGTCAAATGACGAAAAAACGTTACAAAATAGGTGTGAAACATTAGATTTGATGGGAACAATCATCATTTTATATCCTGTCTATGTACACAGCTAAGCATTTTGATTGGTGACATCATAATGTATGTCAATAGTAAAATAAATAACTGTTATGAAGAAGTAACTTAAAGCCTCAGTTAGAATCAGTCGCGAATTGTTTTTTGACGAATAAGCTTGTGTTAGGACAAGGAAAAGCAAATATGGTGGTTAGCACAAAATTATTAGTTACCGTTCATGAGTTGAAAAAGCGTTGTGTGCTTCGTAAAAGTGAGTTTATTTGACGTCTTATTGCTACTGACATTTTTTATAAATTATTATTGTGATTTTAGTTAGATGACGACAGAAAACACAGAAAACGACAGAAGATAGCTCAGTTTCATTAAAATATATCAACAGTTTACTGGACAGTCTAAATTTTTGATTGAGATCAACGCTTGTCCTTGATCACAACACATCGCCCTGTGTAGATCACCTACATAAAACAAAACGTCTTCTTTTTCTTCCTCTTTGCTTTTTCTTTTTCTTTTTTTTACTTATAACTTCAGAGAGGTTAAATTATACCAAAAGCTGGTCTGGTTTGCAAATTGTGTTGTACAGAAACCGTTGAAAACAGAAACTGTGTGGATCACCTACATAAAACAAAACATCATCTTTTTCTTCCTGCTCTTATCCCAAGTTTCCGTGGTCAGAAGAATATTTACAACTTCATCCATTCTCTTACGAAGCAAGTTCTTTCCCTGAACAAATTATGGTTAAAATGAAACCTCATTGATTAAACTAAAATATTTTACCCACTAACAGTTATTGGACTAACCATCTTCTCCCATTTATTTGTCTACTAATGGCTAAATCCATCCACAACTATACTATATGTGTCTCGGATCAATGGTTCTTTGAATTGCCGCGGCTTGTACATATTCTTGGAGCCTCAGATCTTCAGGGTAATAGAGCATGACAGAAACATTTAGCACTTTGATGTTGTGACAACTTCACGGTCGTTATATAACAGGAAAAAGGGATTAAAATATTGTCTACTAATAGGTGTTTGTGGATTTGTACCATTTTACTAAGATTCAGTTAAACAAAACATCGTGAGGAAACCTGGACTTATTAGAAATCTAATTATAAGTCAAATCGCACATCCACATTCATCTAGCATGATGATTGATGCTCAAACGTTCTCCGTGTGAGAAGAGGTTTTTGCTCAACAGTCGACACTTATCGGCTATTGAGGTGTATGAATGAAATATCTTGCCTTAACAAGTTAGGGTCTATTTAACAATTT